CGACGTCGACAGAGAGAGTGAGAATGAATAAAAAGTGGAAGAGAGGGAGAGAGAGAGAGAGAAAGCCCGCGTGGCGCGGACTCCCTCACTTCGCTTGGTTGCCTGCAGGATGCGAGCCAAACTTCCTTCCCCCACTTTGCCTCATTGCCCGCACGCCGTTTTATTTTTTATTTTTATTTTTTATTTTCCTTCTTCTTCTTTCCCTTTGCGAGTTGTGTGAGAGAAAGCATACCAGCAGCTTCGCCGTGGCAAGGCAAGAGACGAAGGAAAGGCAGAAGAGCAACCCGGGATGTCGTACGGTGACCCCTACCCCGGCGACCGCATGGCCGCCCTCGGCGCCAACCTCCGCGACGTCAACTGGAGCGAGGTGCAGGTGGTGGCGTCGCAGTGGAACTACTACAAGCCGCAGCAGCAGCGCAGCGACGCGGAGGTGGCGCAGTGGCTCCGCGAGAACCGCATCACCATCTACGGCGACCGGGTGCCGCAGCCGATGTTGGTCTTCTCCGACCTCGTCGCGCCCGACTCCATTCACCAGTCCTTCATCGACCTCGGCTACAAAACGCCCACGGCGATTCAGTCCATCGCGTGGCCCATTCTACTGAACTCCCGCGACCTCGTCGGGGTCGCCAAGACGGGCTCCGGCAAGACAATGGCGTTCATGGTGCCCGCCGCGCTGCACATCATGGCCCAGCCGCCCGTTCGCCCTGGCGACGGCCCCATCGCCCTGGTACTCGCCCCAACGCGTGAACTCGCCGTGCAGATCGAGGAGGAGACGCGGAAGGTGCTGCGACGCATCCCCACCATCACGACAACGTGCCTGTACGGTGGGGCCCCAAAGGGACCGCAGATCCGCGTGCTGCGCGCCGGCGTGCACGTTGCTATCGCCACCCCGGGGCGCCTCATTGACCTGTTGGAGATGCGGGCGACGAACCTGCTGCGTGTGACGTACCTGGTGCTAGACGAGGCGGACCGCATGCTGGACATGGGCTTTGAGATCCAGATCCGCAAGATTTGCACGCAGATCCGCTCCGACCGACAAACCCTCATGTTCTCCGCGACGTGGCCGCAGGAGATTCGCAACCTGGCGGCGAGCTTCCAGCGGGACTTCATCCGCGTGCACGTCGGCTCCGAGGACCTTGTGGCCAACAACGACGTCTGCCAGCACGTGCTGGTGGTGGAGGAGTACGACAAGCAGCGGCGACTAGAGGAAATCCTGCAAAAACTCGGCCGCCAGCGCGTGCTCATCTTCGTAAAGACGAAGCGCACGGCCGACTCCCTGCACGGGTCGCTGCGGCGCATCCTTGGCGGCGCCGTGATGGCGATCCACGGCGACAAGGAGCAGTCGCAGCGCGACTACGTGCTGGACCGTTTCCGCCGCGACGACCGCTCCGTCCTCGTCGCGACGGACGTCGCCGCGCGTGGGCTGGACATCAAGGACCTGGACGTGGTGATCAACTTCGACATGCCGTCCAACGTTGAGGATTATGTGCATCGTATTGGTATGTGAATGCCATTCCGGTTGAGTCTATCGACCTCCCCCTCTCTTGCTTTGCTCGACCCCTCCCCCTCTTTGTATACGTGACGCCCCCCTCCGACTCCCTCTCTCACCACCTCTCTATTCGCGTCGGTCCGTTGGCGATGGCTGTCTTTTCGGGGTGCTGCGCTCTGGCATAGAATGGGGGAATAATAGCACCAATAACAATAATAATAATAATAAAAAGGGATGACACGCAACCACGCGCCCAGCGCGAGAAGATACACGGCGGTTTCTGCGCATAGGCACATCTTCTCTCTGTGCGCGTGGTTGTGTGTGGGTTTCTCGTGTCTGTGCCCGTGGGCAGTGTTCTGCGGTGCAGCTGCCTGCCTCCCTCTCTCCCTCTTTGTTTGTGTGCGTGCGTGCGTGCGTGCGTGACGCGCCCTCGGCGAACGCGTCTGCCGGCCGCTCCCCCTTTGCGTGCCCCGCCAGCAGGCCCCACACACACACACACACATACACGCACACGCCTCGGCAGGGGATTCTTTCTCCTGGGCGGGGGACCGTTGCGTTTCCACCTGTCCTCCACCCACACAGGCACACTCCCCGAGGCCGCAGGCAAAACTCCCTCCCCTCTTTGCGGATGTGTGGTCCTCCTGCGACTGCCTGCAACCGCAGGCTGCGCCATGGGGGAGCTTCAAAAAAAAAAAAAGTGCCTGCGGGGGTGGGGGGTGGGGGACAAACAAGAGGAGAATTTAACGCGGCGAGGAGGAGAAAGTGGCCAGCAACGCAAGGGATGTCGAGTCCGTGGGGGAAGTGGCGGCAGCAGCGCCGAGGGGCCTCCTGCTTTTTCCCCCCTCCCCGCCACGGGCTCCTGCCACTCCCCCGTACCCCTCCACGCGCTGCACACACACACACACACACACACACACACGTGCGTCACAATCTCCCCCAGCCAGAGCGTGCCTCACAGCTCCCGAGCGGCTGTCGCCAACGCCGACCGGATTAAAAAAAAAAAATAATTCTTTACTATTTATCTGATTTTTGCTTCAACCTGAACACCCCGCTCCGTTCCCTTCTCTCCCCCTGCTGTGCTGCTCTGTAATTATGTCTGACTTTGCATCTAACTGGAAAAGGACGAAC